GCCCTGGAGGAGGTGGCTACAGTGCCCGTGGCATGGCCCAGGGTGTTAGCAGGGGGATGGAGGGGGAAGGGTGGAGTTTTAGGCCATAAAAGCAGCAGCAGGAGGATCTGCCAATGGGCCCTTCCAATCCCCGTGCACCAGGCGCCCTTCCTGGGCCCGTCTCCCGTGACTGGGAATTGAGGCCTTCGCGCTCCGATTGACTCTCTTGGGCAGGTGCTTGCACCTAAGCCCACCTCGTAGGTTTGGGAGCCTCAGGCAGGGCCCGTGTCCGGGGCAGCTCTCTGCAGCGCCCTGCCGTAGGAGAAGGCTCAAAGGGGGAAGTACAGGGAGCCCCGCACGTTCCTCTGGACACACGGGAGCTGCAGGGAGCCACGTGCCAAGCGTGGGGACCTGAGGCCAGGACCTTGGCCCCCAGTGCTGGGCTGTGCCCTGGGGAAGGGGGCATGGCTGGACTGGAGAGGAAGGAGCCCCCAGCCAGCGCTCAGGTCCAGGGCATTTATTACACTGTAAAAAGGCCATTGGATTCCCAGCCATGTATTCCTTATGTACATCGTCAGTGCCCGGGTTCCCAGTCACTCCCGTTTCCCATGGGAGCGCGCAGCCATGCTCCAGCTGCGGGCTCTGCCTCAGGAGGGGAGAAGCGAAGTGCAGGAGGGGCAGGAAGGAGCCCCCAGCCAGCGCTCAGGTCCAGGGCATTTATTACACTGTAAAAAGGCCATTGGATTCCCAGCCATGTATTCCTTATGTACATCGTCAGTGCCCGGGTTCCCAGTCACTCCCGTTTCCCATGGGAGCGCGCAGCCATGCTCCAGCTGCGGGCTCTGCCTCAGGAGGGGAGAAGCGAAGTGCAGGAGGGGCTGAGCTCCGACTCCCATGGCTAGAGAGGGCAGGGGCCTGGCCGTGGCAAGCAGCAGCCAGCGCCTCTCGAGCTAGGGCACACGCTGGCCCTGCAGCGGGAGGTAGGAGGGACCAGCGTAGGCAAGAGGGGCTGCTGGTCAGTGCAGGGGGTGTGGCAGGGGCATGGCCTGGGCTGCTTTCACC